TGGATTACATCAAGTACAATTGTAAAACAGGAAAACAATGACGATTAAATTACAAGAAAAAAATTATAATAAAAAATATAAAAGCAAAGTACAGAGGCAAAATTAAATAAATATGTATAAAGTTATTTTAGGTTCAGTTTAATTTAGTAATGTAAACTTTTAGTAATGTAGTAATTCAATAAATTAAGTCACAAACAAAATTCTGCAACTTATGTAATGATGAAGAAACTTTACATTTGTGAATATATTTACCATAATAAATAAATTGCCTAAATAGCCTGTTAGGTTTGTCGAAAGAAAAGTAAGAAATTATGTCTCACGTAGATAAATTAATGGTAAACTTACATTTTGATGTAAAAACACAAACATAGGAAAAAGGCTGTAGGTGAAGCGTGACGTCACAAACTCCGCCCACATTCAAGCTGCTTCCTGGTTTCGTGAAAGACAAACATCATCATGCAGGTATCGCGTTTTTTTAACATATATTTAGTGTTTTGAACATTACATGTGTCAGAGTATTGGAAGAATACATATATGTGTTATTTTCGGTGTGTTGTTGTACTGTGTAAGTTGCAGAAACGGTTGGTTTCACTTTCTTGTTGGCAATTGAGAAAAACACAACGTAAGATTATTTTGAATATAAGGTTTGTTGTGGCCTTTTTGATTAAATTTGTTCATGTTGCTGAACATAAGTCTGTATTTGATTTAATCACACACTCACATAAAGAGTTGTCGTACAAGTTAGCTTCAGCACATTTATATTAAAAGTGACACATGACTATAAGTAATGTCATTGTTCTGATGAATGGAGTTGCTCTTTATTGGATCAGTGCTTTTACATTACACTGAACTCAACTGAACGTCAACAGTGACAGTAAACTGACCTGAAGCAGTTTTCATTTGTCTAGATGTACACCAGCATTTTACACTACTCCTGTCTGCCTGTAGTGCTGGAAGATTCACCAATTTGCAGCATAGGGTTTTTCGCACAGCTAGTCTTCCCATGCTGATATACTTTCAGTGACCGGTTATTGTGACTTTTTTCCATTTTATTGGGTTCCTTGTATATCAGTGATGCTGTGATGTAATTAAAATACAGTGTTAAATAGACTTCGGCATTCATTTAGTTGCTCAAGCGTAAAACTTGACAAAAAGCTCGTCAGAATCAGCAGGCTAGCGCAGGAGCTCCATTAAATATATTGGGGTAAAATAAATGTACAAAAATTGATAAAGGATGCCAACAAATTTGCCCACTCTCTGCTTTGTTGTTCACACTAGCAATTGAACCCTTCGCAGCTGCAGTACACTCACATCAGCAATACTCTGGAATAACGCTGGGACCAACAGAAAAAATAATAGTCTTGTATGCTGACAATGTCATTTTGTTTTATTTTTTTAAATTAAGTAAAATTGATTCCAGCTGTGATACAGCTAATTACAACATGTGGCAATATCTCAGTGTAACCCCACTGGTCCTCATCACCAATCCCGCCCCGAGCTGGTTTCGAACCAGCAATCTTCCACATGGGAGTCGGTTGCTCTATCAAGGAGGCTAAAGACCCAGGCCTCTAGCATCAGTCGCTAGAACACCTTTAGAGGTCAGAGGAGTGACGTTTACCTGCACAGCACTTACTAGCTGGCCTCCGTTACATCAGTATATAGGATCAATAAAACAAAATCCTCCATATTAATCTTAAATTCAATTGAAAGAAAGAATCCAAATATAGAGGCATCCCAATTTGGAGTTGTTGAACAGTTAAAATTAATAAATCAATTGGTATCAAATGGATGTCATTACCAGTTTCTATAATTGGAGGAATTAATATTTTAAAAATGAACATACTACCCAAACTACTCTATTTTAAAAAAAAATCCCATTACCTCCACCTTCAGAACTGTTTGCAAAAATGAAAACCATGTTTGTTAGATTTATATGAAACAATAGGAGGGCAAGATTGGGTTTGTCTTTGTTATATCTGCCATTAGACAGAGGTTTAAAATGTCCACACTTACTGTGGTACTACTGGGTGGCACATCTATTATGCTCTACTTCTCAATAAGTGAATCTCCACATTGAACAGAAATTGAATCTTATAATTTAACCTCACCTCTTCCCTCATACATAAAGTTAGACACGGCAAAAAACTACACAAACAAACAAAAAACCCAATTGTAAACAGATGTTAAAGATATGGTTTGATGTACAAAGATATCTAAAAAACTCACATTCACTGTCTCAATTTAGCCCAATATGGGGCAATCAGATGCAACATTCAAACTGTGGAAGTCGAAAGGACTTAAAATGATTCAAGATCAGACAGATTCAGATAGAATGATGTCCTTTGAAGAGTTGAGGCTTAAATTTAAACATAATAGAAAAAAATATTTAAATATCTTCAATCAAGAAGTTTTGTTAAAACAAATCAAGTTAATGGTCTTTATATTACATATTGATTTTTAGAAAACATGATGATAAACGTTTTAGTTTTATGGTTTGCTGACGATGAACTAATTAAAAAATGTATATTTTAAGTTGAATGCATGAAAGGAAGGGTGCACAGTGGTGCAGTAGGTGGTGCTGTCGGATCACAGCAAGAAGGTTGCTGGTTCGAGCCTCGGCTGGGTCAGTTGACGTTTCTGTGTGGAGTTTGCATGTCCTCCCTGCTTTGCGTAGGTTTCCACCAGTGTGTGTGGAAAGATGGGTTATGGCCGGAAGGGCATCCGCTTCGTAAAAACTTGCTGATAAGTTGGGGGTTCATTCCGCTGTGGCGACCCCGGATTAATAAGGGGCTAAACCGAATAGAAAATGAATGAATAAATGAATGCATGGAAGAAAGATTTACATTCTGCAGTTTCAGATGAAGATTGGGAAGTAGTCTGCACTAAAGCTCACCATATGTCTATAAATTCACGTCTTAAACTTATACAATATAAATGGGTCATGCGGTCATATGTAACACCAGTAGAATTAAATAGATATAATAAAAACTTACCAGATATTTGTACAAAATGTTTGGAAGCTAGAGGAAACCTGTTTTACTGTATTTGGCAGTGCACAAAGATTAAATTATTTTGGGAAGAGGTAAGAGTCATGAGTGAAAAGATAATTTAAAAACAAATCCTCCTAGACCCAAAGCTTTTTTTGCTAGGCTTATACCCAGAGGCTTATACCTCAAATTATTGTAGAAGCAATCAAGTATTTATCGACCTCAGCTTGCTTTAGCCATAAGATGTGCACAGTTGAAGTCATAATTATTCACCCCCCGTTGAATTTTCTTTTCTTTTTAAAATATTTTCCAAATGATGTTTAACAGAGCTGGGAAATGTTCAGAGTATGTCTGATAATATTTTTTTTTTCTTCTGGAGAAAGTCTTATTTGTTTTATTTCAGGTATAATAAAAGCAGTTTTTAATTTTATAAACACAATTTTATGTTAAATATTAATAGCCCTTTTAAGTTAATCTTTTTCCTGATATTCCACAAAACAAACCATCATTATACAATAACTTGCCTAATTATCCTAACCTGCCTAGTTACTCTAATTACCCTAGTGAAGCCTTTAAATGTCACTTTAAGCTGTATAGAAGTGTCTTGAAGAATATCTAGTTTAATATTATTTACTGTCATCATGGCAAAGAGCAAATAAATCAGTTATTAGAGATGAGTTATTAACACTATTATGATTAGAAATGGGCTGAACAAATCTGCTCTCCATTAAACAGAAATTGTGAAAAATGTAAACATTGGGACGAATAATTCCAGGGGGCTGATAATTCTGACTTCAACCGTAGCTTTGCTTTGGACAAAGATGCAAAGACCAAACGCTACTCAATGGATAAGACAAATGTTGTCAAGCCTGCCATTACGAAAAAATAATTTATATACTAAAAGCTAAACAGCGTGTATTTGAAAACATATGAAGTCCTTTCATTAGTTATATCAAAGTGGAATTAACAGAGGAAGAAGTTGATGAATAATTCATACATTCTTCAATATGTATTTGCTGTACCTAGTACTCAGTATGATTATAATTGTCATGTTTGAATAGATTACCAATAACGACAAAAAGAGGAGCCGTTTTATTTTATTTTATTTATTGTTTTTTTTTTTTTTATAAAATATATATATATATATATATATATATATATATATATATATATATATATATATCCTCATATTTTGTATAATTTGTAAATGCGACAAGGTTATTGTTGTGAAGAAGAAATGTTTGTAAAATGTTGTATTTCAGTGTGTACGAACTGAAAACAAAAATTTGTCCACATTTCAAAGACATGGGGGGAAGGTAATGTAATGCAGTGCTTCTTTTACAATCTGAGACACACTCGATCACTCAGCCAGTGGAGATTGCTGATTTTTAAAGAAAACTTAAACATGCAGATTTTGTAATGTTATACAGTTCACCGGAAGCGCTTAACCCAGGTTGCAGACAAATTAAAAGTCCTTTTGCATACTTCAGCATATACCCTATTGTGACTTTTTGTCTCTGTTTTTATTTACTTATTTATTTATTCATTCTTTCATTTTCTTTTCAGCTTAGTCCCTTTATTAACCTGGGGTTGCCACAGTGGAAGGAACCGCTAACTTATCAGGCATATGTTTTACACCACAGATGCTCATCCAGTTGAAACCCAACAATGGGAAACACCCATAAACTCTTGCATTCACACACATGTACAACAGCCAATCTTATCTTATTCAATTCCCCTGTAGCGCATGTGTTTGGACTGTTGGGTAAACCAGAGCACCTGGAGGAAACCCACACCAACAAGGGGAGAACATGCAAACTCCACAGAGAAATGCTAACTGACCCAGCCAATATTCGAACCAGCGACCTTCTTGCTATGATGCAAACATGCTACCCACGGCACCACCGTGACATCCTATTTATTTATTTATTTATTTATTTATTTATTACTGTTTTATTTTATTTATTTTTTTCATTTTGTTAAGCTGCTTTGGTACAACTATAATAGCACTATATAAGTAAAGATGACTTAATGAGGTAAAATCTCTTACAGGGCGATGACGAGATAAACATCAGGAGGAGAAGATGGTGATGAACTGAAGGCTGAAGTATAATACTACGATAACATTACTAAAATCAGTTTAGATATGAATGAAGAAGATGATCAGCTGATGACTGAAGAAAGAAAAGATCAGCATGTCCAGCAGAGAAAGTAGAGGTCAGAGTTTATTAAAGCTGCTATAACTTGTTTCCTAAAGTTAAAAATTAACATCCAAAACACATGTAAACCAAATAAACACTATACTTAATGATTAAAACTAGTAATTAAGTGTTTTATTTGCTCACTATTACATTCTTACTCAGTTTGAATACCTGTTACAATGTTCACTCTGTTTATTGTGTTTTCACTGTGATAAAAGCATCTGCTAAAGGTAGAAATATTAATGTACTGTACTCTTTTAACTCTATTAAGTCTCTAATAAAGATCTTTATTGACATTTTCTTAATGTTTTTTTTAGCTATTGTTCGCAGTTCTGCTCGCAAAAGAAGTCAGAGCAAAGAGAGAGACCCTCCCTTAAGTAAGTCTTTATAAAGATAAATATTGACTGACAACTGATTTTTTTTTTCCCTTTGTTAACTTGAAAACCTGCTTCTCGTTTTTTTTTTTTTTTTTTTTTTGCTGCATCAAACAGTGCATTTGACACATGTTGTGTGTTTCAGTGAGCACTGATTCTCCTCTGAGGATTCTTCTCCTGGGTAAAAGTGTGTCTGAGAACAGCCGTGTGGGAAACTTGATCTTGGGTCGATCAGCGTTTGACAGTGAAGCTCCTCCAGATGTTGTGGAGAGAGTCGGAGGAAGACTGAAGCACAGACACGTGACGCTCATCAACAGTCCTCAGCTGCTCCACACACACATCTCAGATGATCAGATCACACAGACGGTCAGAGAGTGCGTGAGTCTGTCTGATCCAGGACCTCATGTGGTGCTTCTGCTCCTCCAACATCAGCAGTGTTCAGCAGAAGATCAGGAGCGTGTGGAGAAGCTGCAGGACTCTTTCTCTGAGCGCCTTCTTCAACACACCCTGGTGCTCAGCACACAAGAGCCCACTGAACCCAATCAGATCCTGCAGAAGATCATCCAGAAGTGCTCCAACAGACACTTCAGTCTTCAGACAAGCAGCTCTGCTGATCATCTTCTGCAGGCCTTTGAGGACATCGAGCGGAGCAATGAGGGACGACACCTGATTTCTGGAGACTCGCAGTGTTCCACAGTGGAGAAACGGGACACACAGACACGTGAGTGAGAGCATATCTGATGTGTCTGCTGCTGTATGAAGGGTGTTTAATCTTCTTCTTCTCTTTCAGACTCTGAGAAGCTGAATGTGTTGGTGTGCGGGAGCGACGGCTCACTGAAATCCTCCATCTCAGAGCTGATCCTGCAACACACACACAGAAGATCAGAGAGTGTGAGGACAGACGTGATCAATGTGCTGGAGCTTCCAGCTCTGTTCAACACTGAGCTCTCAGAGGAGGAAGTGATGCGTCAGACTCTCCGCTGTGTGTCTCGCTGTCATCCTGGAGTTCATGCTTTCCTCCTCATTATTCCTGACGCTCCACTCAATAATGAAGACAGAGCAGAAATGGAGGAGATCCAGAAGATCTTCAGCTCCAGAATCAACAAACACATCATGATCCTCATCATGCAGAACTCAGAGCATCAGACAGCAGAACTCAATGAAGAAACAGAAGCTGTCATTCAGAGATTTGGAGGAAGACATCATCACTTCAGTCCTGAAACACAAGTGTCCACATTGATGGAGAACATTGAGCAGATGCTGGAGGAAAACAGAGGAGGTGTTTACTCCACAGAGACATTCCTGGAGGCGCAGATGGAAAAACTGGTGAAATATGAAGAGATGAAAATTAAGAAAAGTAATTTACTGGAGACACCACTGCTGACACAAGGTGAGGAGAATAAAGTCAGCTTCAGTCACAAACTTAAAACTAGAAAATTATAGATTTAAACTATGGTTGTGTTTTATAAATTTTTTAAATAACAGAACTTGGCTATAGATGTTATCCATTTTTTCTCAAAGAGTAAATCTGCATATGAAGCCATTTATATGTTTATATACAGCTGTTTATATGTATGTGTAAGTGGCACATGTGCAATCACTCATGACACCATCACTAAGTAGTAGGCTCCTGGCCAGAATTCAACTGCTAGTTCGGTGTTAAGATCCTAGAGATGTATTATCACTCCTCCTTATTCTGAGGGTTACATTTGTAACTGAGACATTTCCTCTCAGTTGGTCTCTCTGGAAAAATTTGGTGGCCAACAAGATGGGGATCCCTATGGATAGTGCCATAGTGCCAACTAATAATACTGTAAGTTTGGAGTGTTGTAGCGTAGCAAGTATTATGAGCACAAAAACACTTATCAATTGCATTCAGATCTTGGTTACACATAAGCTTCCAAATGCTTCCCTGAGTCCCAGATTTACCAAATGGGAAATGAATAAGAGCAGGTAGACCTAATGAGTTAGGGCTTACTCACACTATGCCATCCGTACCACGCCCAGGCCCGTTTCCTGGATCATTTGAGAAGTGTGAGTGCGCTGAATCGGGCTCAAGCACGGTTCACTTGGCCGGCCCTGGCCCGGCTAGAATGAGGTGGGCCTGAGCCTGGTTCACTTGGGCTTTGGCGCGGTACGCTTGTGTGTGAGTGCAAAACGCGCCAAAGCCCGAAACTGATAGTGAGACGTGACTTTTAAGGGACTGTTGCATATGTATTTATTAATCATTCTTACTGTTCAGTGAACGCAAACTGCCGTAGTTTATTAAAGACGAGAACTCCTCACAGCACGACAGCTGCACCTTCAGCAGACCTCCTCATTCCTGCAGCACACGGGCTTTATGACTGTTTATGAGCGCTAAAAGTGGCGGATCTGTTCAGTGAAATATTTGACTGCGTGTGACTGCATAACAAACGACTGAAACGATATAACCAGAGAAATCTCCACTGTGCTGAGTGAGAGCGCTTACTGAACACAGCAGCATCGATGATGGAAGTGTGCCCAGGCCCAATTGTAGCGTGAGTGCGGGCCGTCGGGGGAGACGGGAGGGGGGACAAGCGTGCTTTGGCCCGGTTCGAGGCAACTGTACATAGTGTGAGTACGGCCTTAGAAACCTTTAATTAGTACGTCAGTAGGTTGGTAAAGTGCTTCAGACCAAAAGGAGAAACATGAAGAAACCACAATCTTGAAAGATGCTTTTGGCAAAAAACAAATGTTCAGAAATGCTACATATGAACTAAAACATTCTGTAGATAGAAACACTCATAGAATTGCCTGAACTGGTAATTTTACACTATCAGGCACAAAACAGCAATAAAGATACCTTTTCCACACAAGTGGTATATTTTAAGTGCAATATGTACAATCAGAATTATGTGCATAAACTCTGCATAAACTCCAAATCTGTCACTGGGGGAGGTATCATTTCAAAAGGTACATATTTTAACTTTGACCACAACAATGAAAATCAGCCCATGATTTGACTGGGCTAAATCTGAGTAATTTGAAAATCTCCTGGCTTTTTCAAGCTTTGCAATGGCAAGGGGTAGTCCAAAAGAAGATTAATAAGGCACAATCATACATAAAATGTGCCTTCACTTGCCCCCTGGAGGTGAATCAAATTTATGCATTATATTTAAAACCCTAAATACGAAAAAATTGGACAGTATGGAAAATGCAAATAAAAAAAGTAGAGTTTTCTAAATGTACTTTGTCTTGTTTCATTGCAGAAAATACAACAAACATGATTTAATGTGTTCCTCCTGATTTTTATCGTTTTATATTATTATTTATTTCTTTGATAAATTAATTGGAATGTTTAAAAACAAAATGTTCCTCAGAGAAAGAGAGGAAGACATTGGTATATTTCACCTTAAGCAGTGCAGAACATCATTAAAAGATTCAAGGAATCTGGAGGAATTTTAGTGCGTAAAGGACAAGAGCGCAAGCCTAAGCTGAACAATCGTGATCTCCGATCCCTCAAGTGGCGCTGCATCAAGAATCCTCAATAATTTATCAGCAATATCACCACATGGGCTCAGGGGCCTGTTTCAGAAAGGAGGTTAAGTGAAAACTCAGAGTATCTTAACCCTGAAATGAGAGAAACTCTGGGTTTTCGGTTTCAAAATGGCAGGTTTGTTAAACTCAAGAAAGCAGTGTAAGTCAAGCCTGTTTCTGAAAGAGAGGTAACTTTAACTCAGAGTCAGTTACTGTGGTAACTTACTCTGTGAATCTAACCTGGTCAGGAGCAGGTTTTATTCTCTAAACTCTGAGTTTCTGTCGGTCTCCTCCCCTTTTTTAAAGATGAAGCGTATTTCTCGCATTAGTCTTACGTCTCCACACACCTATTTTAGAGCTCATTTTTGAGATACTCATAAAAACGATTGATGGAAACGTCATGACTCACATAACTTTTGAAAATATGCATAATAAAACATGTGCATAACTGAGTAGGTTAAACTTTTATTTGATAAGAAAAGATGCACATAAACTACGAAGTGCACTTAACAAATTACAGTATGTACATTAAAAAAAAGTTTGTTAGATATGATGATGAAAATGTGTGTGAATGGACAAACCAGCAGGCTGAGCACACAGTAGAACATCTTAAATGTTGTTTTAGTCATTTTAAAATGCCTGAACTGTTTCAGTATTAGTGTATATTATTAATTACCTCCGAGCGTCTGGAGCGTGTCAAGATCGGCCGCGTCTGGCTTCAAACGCCCCCACGTGTTCATTGTGTCTTCTGAGGCGCAAGTATTAAAAAAAAAAATCAATAACGCAGCTTGTTCTACCGCAGTAAATTCTGTTTTTACTGTTGATATTTGGCGCAAGTTAATCAGGAAGTGACGATTGTGTTCTCTTTGACTCGATAAAAACGCTGCTTTATTCGCATCTTTTAGGAGTTATTCCAGTTTTGCACAAATTTATGTAATAGCCTGTATTTTGATGGAAACAGCTATTGCCTACATTTTTGTCACACACAGAACAAAGTCACGTACGAGAATGGCTTGTCCTTTTTTCCATAAATATTTAGCTTAACCTTCGACATGCACTGTTACTAGATTAATGGGATTATTATTCTGTCTAAAAATTATTTTTAGCACTGCTTACGTTCTTAATGTTATATCAACCTCTATCACTTGATCAATAAAAAGGCAAACACACAAGTGCACTGTTAAATCTATTAAAACTGATAAAAGTGTATAAAAGTTTAGAAAAAAGTATAAACATCACACATTATATTACTTATTTTATTATACTTAAATGTTTAAATAATTTAAATAAAAAAATACGCATTAACTTGAGCAGCTCTTTTCCCAGGCTAACTGTCTCTGTTTCACTGATGGTTGCTTCTTTTTAAATATATACACTCATATTTGCTAAAACTTTGCATGAGCAGATCAAGTTCAGCTGGGGAAAAAAATGGTGATCTCTTTTTTTAAGATGTTGCCATAGTCACTCATAATATCTGCGCTCCATTGATGATGCCTTTTTATAGTCACGGTGTGCGCGCTTAACTCTGAGTTGGTCTACTCAAAGTTGATTGACTTAACTCAGATCAGCTGTTCTGAAACCGAAAACTCTGAGTTTTTAATCTCTCGATAAATCAACTCAGAGTTCAAGTTTAAACTCCGAGTTGTTTGAACCTCCTTACTGAAACAGGCCCCAGGACAACTTTTGTACCACAATATATAGCTACATCCACAAATGCCAGTTAAAACTGGACAGTGACAAAAGGAAGCCCTATGTTAACAGTGTCCAAAAGCGCCATTGACTTCTCTAGGATCGTAGACATCTGGGATGGACCATCACACAGTGGAAACGTGTACTGTGCTCAGATGAATCAGTATTTCTGGTATTTTTTTACTTTATTTATTCTTTTTTTTTTTTTTTCGAGTGCTCTGGACCAAAGAAGAAAATGATCATCCAGACTGTTTCCAGCAACAAGTCCAAAAGCCATAGTCTGTCATGGTATGGGGTTGTGTCAGTGCCCTTGGCAAAGGTAACTGCACTTCTGTGATGCAGCATTAATGCTGGAAAGCACAGAGAGATTTTGGAGCACAATATGCTGCCTTCTTTTCCAGAGACGCCCATGAATATTTCATCAAGACAATGCAAAACCACATACTGCACACATTACAGAGTCCTGCTGCGGAGGAAGAGGACACAGGTACTGGACTGGCCTGCCTGCAGTCCCAACCTGGCTCTAATAGAGAATGTGTGGAGCATTTTGAAGCAGAAAATGTAACAATGAAGACCCCGTGTTTGCTGTATTGTCTGCAATTAAACATAAGTCATTTGCAAAACTACTTTTTTATTTGCTTTTGTTTTTTCCACACAGGCCCATTTACAATAAACTTTTTTTCTGATTTGTGGTTGTACAATAGATCAAAATCCTTTTTAAGATTACATGACTGTGCTCTCATGTTATTAAGCACTCTTGTGTTAAATTATTGCTTAACACCATGCAATCCTGCAACCTGCACTGACATTAGGACTGAGTGACAGGAGGCATGTCAAATTGGCTGTTGGACAGGAGAGAGGATAAATATTAGGGCTTTTATTAGTCATTTGTGTTGATTTACTCAGTAAAGGGCTGTGCTTTAAAAGTAGTGATGTACAATACTTTGTACATTTTTACTTAAGTACAAATTGATCTGCCTTAAATACATTCTCAAATAATCCTGGAAAAAGCTACTTAATTATGCCATGCAAGTAGTTTTTATTTGTTACTTTCCTCTGATCTTTTTAGGTGCATGAACCATTATTGCTTTGTTAAAATGTATCATTTGTATATATGTTCATATGTTATACAGTTTTTTTTTACTTTTAAAATTTCAGGTTCAAGAGTAAACACAGAGGATGAAGTGAGGATTGTTCTTCTGGGCAAAACTGGAGTTGGGAAAAGTACAACGGGAAACACAATCTTAGGAAGAAAGGCTTTTACAGCAGAAACATCTCACCAATCAGTGACTAAAGAGAGTCAGAGAGAATCATGTGAAATCAATGGCAGACAGGTCACTGTGGTCGACACTCCAGGACTGTTTGATACTGAACTCACTGAAGAGGAGATCCAGAGAGAAATCAGACACTGCATCTCCATGATTCTGCCTGGACCACACGTGTTCATCATCGTGCTCAGTTTAGGACAGAGATTCACTAAAGAGGAGGAAACATCAGTGAAGATCATCCAGGAGACGTTTGGGGAAAACTCTCTGATGTTCACCATAGTGCTCTTCACCAGAGGAGACTCTCTCATGAATAAATCCATTGAAGAGTTTCTGGGTAAACCTGGATCTCCTCTGATGAACCTGATTGAAGCTTGTGGACACAGATATCATGTGTTCAACAATAATCAGCCTGAAGAGCGAACACAAGTGTCTGATCTACTGGAGAAGATAGACAACATGGTGAAGGCAAACGGAGGAAGCTTCTACTCATGTAAGATGTTCAGAGAGATGGAGAGAGAAAAACAAGAACAACAGATGAAGATCCTGATGGACAGAGTCAGAGAAACTGAAGAAGAGAAAGAGAGAATGAAGATGATGATGGAGGAAGAGCGACAGAAGCAGGAGAAGGAGAGAAAGAGGAGAGAAGAAGAACTGAAGAGAGAAATAAGAGAAGGAGAGAAACATCAGAGAGAGATGAAAGAGGAGATGAAGAGAGAACGAGAGACATTTAGACACGAAATAGAGGAAATCAGGAGAGAAAAAGAGAAACTGCAGATCAAACATGAGACAGAAACAGACAGACTGATGAAGAGAATAGAGGATGAACGACAGAATCATGAAACAGAGAGAAAGAGAAGAGAAGAAGAGTTTAATGAGAGAGAAGAACGATATGAAAGAGAAATAAACAAGAGGAAACAGAGTGAAGAAAAGATGCTGGAGCAGATGAGCAGAGAACGAGAGGAATGGGAGAAACAAACAAGAAGAAGAGATGAAGATGATGAGAAAAGAAGAGAGAAAGAACAGAAAGAATGGAGTGAGTTTAATGAGAAACTGAAAGCAGAGAAAGACAGAATGGAGAGAGAGAAAGAAGATCTTCAATCTAAACATGAAGAAGAAGAAAAGAAGAAGAAGATCCAGATAGAGGAACTGAACAGAGAAAGAGAAGAACTGATGAAGAAACACGAAGAAGAGAAAGAGAGAATGAAGATGATGATGGAGGAAGAGCGACAGAATCAGGAGAAAAAGAAGAAGATGAGAGAAGAAGAACTGAAGAGAGAAATAAGAGAAGGAGAGGAACATCAGAGAGAGATGAAAGAGGAGATGAAGAAAGAACGAGAGACATTTAGACACGAAATAGAGGAAATCAGGAGAGAAAAAGAGAAAATGCAGATCAAACATGAGACAGAAACAGACAGACTGATGAAGAGAATAGAGGATGAGAAGAAGAAAAGAGAAGAGGAGAATACAGAAAGAGAAGAGAAATTTACAAGACAGATCAGGGAGAAAGAGGAGAAAGAGAGAGAGATGAAAGAAGAGATGAAGAGAGAACGAGAGGAATGGGAGAAACTGAAAGAAGAAAAAAAGAAGAGAAGAGATGAAGAGGATGAGAAAAGAAGGGAGAAAGAACAGAGAGATTGGGATGTGTTTAATGAGAAACTGAAAAAAGAGAAAGACAGAATGGAGAGAGAGAAAGAAGATCTTCAATCTAAACATGAAAAAGAAGAAAAGAAGATGAAGATCCAGATAGAGGAACTGAACAGAGAAAGAGAAGAACTGATGAAGACACATGATGAAGAAAAGGAGAGAATGAAGATGATGATGAAGGAGGAACGACAGAATCAGGAGGAAGAAAAGAAGAGAAGAGAGGAACTGATGAAGCAATATGAAGAAGAGAAAGAGAGAATGAAGATGATGATGGAGGAAGAACGACACGTTCAGGAGAGAGAGAAGAAGAGGAGAGAAGAAGAACTGATGAAGAGTCACAACAAAGAGAAAGAGAGAATCAAAATGTTGATGGAGGAAGAAAAGAAGAATAGAGAAGAACTGATAAAGAGTCATGAAGAAGACAAAGAGAGGATGAAGATGATGATAGAGGAGGAACAACAGAAGCAGGAGACAGAGAGAAAGAAGAGAGAAGAACTGAAGAGAGAAATAAGAGAAGGAGAGGAACATCAGAGAGAGATGAAAGAGGAGATGAAGAGAGAACGAGAGACATTTAGACACGAAATAGAGGAAATCAGGAGAGAAAAAGAGAAAATGCAGATCAAACATGAGACAGAAACAGACAGACTGATGAAGAGAATAGAGGATGAACGACAGAATCACGAAACAGAGAGAAAGAGAAGAGAAGAAGAGTTTAATGAGAGAGAAGAACAATATAAGAGAGAAATAAACAAGAAGGAAGAGAAGATGCTTGAGCAGATGAAGAGAGAACGAGAGGAAAAGAAGAGAAGAGAAGAGGATGAGAAAATAGAGAAAGAACAGAGAGAATTTAATGAGAAACTGAAAAAAGAGAAAGACAGAATGGAGAGAGAGAAAGATCTTAAACATGAAGAAGATGAAAAAAAAATGAAGATCCATATTGAGCAAATGAACAGAGAAAAAGAAGAACTGATGAAGAGACATGAGGAAGAGATAGAGAGAATGAAGATGATGATGGAGGAGCGACAAGAGAGAAAGAGAGAAAGAAGAGGGGAGAGAAAAGAAACAGAAATGCAATTTAACTTAATAAAAGAGGAGAATTTGCTAAAAGAAGAGAAAAGGAGACAACAAGAGAAATGGGAGGAACCAAATGTGCAAAGTCTTACAAGCTGTAAGTCAAAAAAACAAATATTGTGTAAATTATTCATAGCAAAGCGTCTCGCTTTATTTGATCAGACCGTATACAGTTCATGTGTTTACTCTCATTTTAAAAATGCAGCCCTGCTTTTATTTGTGATACTGAGATAATGAGAGTATGCATATCTACTGCCATACATATATTTTCAGTGCAGTTACATGAAAAGTGTTTGAACTGTCCCAAATTCATTAGATTTAACAAATGCTAATTACATGCATTTCTTGATACAAATACTTTAAAATCACAGTGACTAGTTAAACGTCATGATCTTCTGCACGTTTCATTCTAGAAATCTTCTTTATTGGACCTCTAGATTTTAGCTGAATGTCTTTGAATTAGAAGGTTATAGATAGATAGATAGATAGATAGATAGATAGATAGATAGATAGATAGATAGATAGATAGATAGATAGATAGATAGATAGATTAACACAGTAGATAGATAGATAGATAGATAGATAGATAGATAGATAGATAGATAGATAGATAGATAGATAGATAGATAGATAGATAGATAGATAGATAGATAGATGGATAGATTAACACAGTAGATAGATAGATTAACACAGTAGATAGATAGATAGATAGATAGATAGATAGATAGATAGATAGATAGATAGATAGATAGATAGATGGATAGATTAACACAGTAGATAGATAGATAGATAGATAGATAGATAGATAGATAGATAGATAGATAGATAGATAGATAGATAGATAGATAGATAGATAGATAGATAGATAGATAGATAGATAGATAGATTGATTGATTGATTGATTGATTGATTGATTGATTGATTGATTGATTGATTGTAAGGTCCAGCCAGTTGGTCCAATGACGGTATCCAATGGTGGATGAAGGTTCACTGCATGTTCGGTCTTTCCAGTGCACAATGTTGATTTATATTAAACTTAACTCATATCTGACTCCAAATTTTAGTATGAGGTGGTTTAGAATATTAATATATTTATCCTCGTTTTATCTGACTCCAATTATAAAACATTGATAAGATTATTTTGTTTCCTTTCACATTATTTTAGATTATGATTGAATATTCTTTTGATTTGTTATTATACCTTATTCTCATTTACTCAGATTCCGATAGCATCCCGAGTCTTGCACCGGCCGGGTATACAATCTCTTAATACAAGCTTGTCAGTCTTGGTCATTAAACAGAGGCGATTAACCACTCTCCTAAACAGGCAGAACCCTACTTACTCAATTTAGGAGATTTTTATGTGGTCCCCATAGATCTGTTATCTACTTCATCAAGACAAAGTATTTTAATAATAATCGCACAGGATTATAAGTTTGTAGATGAAGGCCTAAATATCCACATTTAAAGTAGTTTCAACAATATTTTGTTGTTCTAAATAGTTGGCCTTTTGCAGTCCAAGTATACTTGAAATAATGCCAATTTGTTAGTCAGATCTCTAACAACATTGAATAGCGTGCCACGCTGCTCCGTCTAAAATGTTTTAGTCCGTTACTAACCTGTACAGTGGCTTGTAGTGCTATGGACAACAACATTTATCAGTGATAATAACACGAGGTTTGAATAATTCAAAACATAATTTATTAGTCAAGTAAATGTATTATGCCAAATTCAATCAGTCAATTCATAAACGATCAATACAAAACATCAAATTATCAAAGATAAATCCAAGATTAAAAGATGCATTCCTGACTTTTTACATAACGTGTAAATTTTACATAACGTTGAGCCTAGGCTCCATGTTATGGGCTGATCTGGTTAGGCAGAATCGCGCTGAGTCTTTCTCAGACCTTACCTTAAATAATCCAAGAATTCCCTCAAGGAAGGGGGTGTGAATAACAAAAGGCATGTTTCTGAGAGAATGAGACCATTGTACCAATCGCACTGAGACATTTCAAATGATATCAAACATGATAGTTAAGGTCAGTTTGGTTAATCTAGAACATTCAAACATTGAAATGACCATATGCGTGAGTTGGGGGGATGAAGCTGAGTTTCAGCATACTGGGATGCAAATGCAGCAGGAACTGGTTTTTCCCGCATTCCCCCTGGTGGGTTGTGGAGTCCATCGGCCCTGTCTTCAGCTCATGTTTTGAATTGTCAAAGACATCAAAAATATTTGTAATATTTCAATTCTTACAAGATAGATAGATAGATAGATAGATAGATAGATAGATAGATAGATAGATAGATAGATAGATAGATAGATAGATAGATAGATAGATAGATAGATTAACACAGTAGATAGATAGATTAACACAGTAGATAGATAGATAGATAGATAGATAGATAGATAGATAGATAGATAGATAGATAGATAGATAGATAGATAGATAGATAGATAGAAAGATAGATTAACACAGTAGATAGATAGATAGATAGATAGATAGATAGATAGATAGATAGATAGATAGATAGATAGATAGATAGATAGATAGATAGATAGATAGATAGATAGAAAGATAGATTAACACAGTAGATAGATAGATTAACACAGTAGATAGATAGATAGATAGATAGATAGATAGATAGATAGATAGATAGATAGATAGATAGATAGATAGATAGATAGATAGAAAGATAGATTAACACAGTAGATAGATAGATAGATAGATAGATAGATAGATAGATAGATAGATAGATAGATAGATAGATAGATAGATAGATGATAGATAGATAGATAGATAGATAGATAGATAGATAGATAGATAGATAGATAGATAGATAGATAGATAGATAAATGATAGATAGATAGGTAGATAGATAGATAGATAGATAGATAGATAGATAGATAGATAGATAGATAGATAGATAGATAGATAGATAGATAGATAGATAGATTAACACAGTAGATAGATAGATAGATAGATAGATAGATAGATAGATAGATAGATAGATAGATAGATAGATAGATAGATAGATAGATAGATAGATAGATAGATAGATAGATAGATTAACACAGTAGATAGATAGATAGATAGATAGATAGATAGATAGATAGATAGATAGATAGATAGATAGATAGATAGATAGATAGATAGATAAATGATAGATAGATAGATAGATAGATAGATAGATAGATAGATAGATAGATAGATAGATAGATAAATGATAGATAGATAGATAGATAGATAGATAGATAGATAGATAGATAGATAGATAGATAGATAGATAGATAGATAGACTGAATTGTAGTGCTGTTTTTACACATAAGCTGGTTGTAAAAAATGACTTGATTTTCAAAGTACTTTAGTACTTACAACTATTATGATTAATAATCATTATTTAAATCATACACAGACCCACACGTCACAATCAGGCAGAATATAATGGCTGATTTGTTTCTCTTTCTCAAGGCACACGACTGCAGGACAATGGTAACATTAATATCGTCCTCCTGGGGAAAACCGGAGTTGGGAAAAGCTCATCAGGAAACACCATACTGGGAGAAAACAGATTCAGAAGTGGAAGAAGCCTGTCTGCTGTCACAGATACATCCAGCATTGAGAAATCAGTCATTAATGGCAGATCTGTGTCCGTCATCGACACTCCTGCATTTTTCTGTACTAATCTTCCTAAAGAGCAGCTGTCGAAGGAGTTAGCGAGGAGTGTTTATCTCTCTGCTTCAGGAGTTCATGCTTTCTTATTTGTTGTGCCGTACGGCAGGTTTACAGAGCAGGAGGAGGACATACTGAAACAAATGCAAAAAGCTTTTGGTAAAGATGTGCTGAAGCATGTTATTCTCCTTTTCACATACGGGGATGAATTTGACAGAAAGAATTTTCAGTCAGTGATAGATGGGAATGAAGTAGTCAGGAGAGTCATACAGAGATGTAGGGATTATCATGTCTTCAATAACAGAGATCTGAATGACAGACAGCAGGTCATGGATCTACTGCTGAAGATTGACTCAATGGTAGAGTTTAATCAAGGGTACTACACTAATGAGATGTATGAAAGAGCACACACGAACACATTTGAACGCTTCTGGAAAATACAAAAAGATATGTTCTTTGCATTTAACAATTATAGTGCAGAATTGTTTCATGGTGCAATCAAGAGACGTGAAGAATTATATTATTTTACAGAAAATGAATAATTTAAATTATAAATATTTTTCTAAAATAAAAAAAAGATAAATATGTATAAAGAAATACAATCCACATTTTTGCTATATTCTGACTTTCAGGGCTATAAATAATTACATAAAAACATAAGGCTGCTTGATCATTTGAATAATTTAATGATCAATACAAAGTATAACATCATTTACATAAACCACATGTGAATCTGTTTACACAATAATATAAATAAAACCTTTTGGTACAAAGAAAACTCTTTTTGTTATGCCATACAGTCCATTTTGCTGCAAATTTCATTCACTTACTGCTGTTCAGATGATCAACATTATGAATGTTTGTTTTTATTCTTATTTGTACTCTATTTTGTTGTTTTTCGTATGTCTTATGCATCTGTTGTAGTTATTTGATCATTTAATCTACTGTATTTATAGCACTCTGGGTAACACTTCAGAATGCTGGTCCATCATTAATTAAGAACTACACAGGAACAACTGAGCAAAGCAATTTTAACAATCTAGTAACTACTTTTTAGTAGGTAATAGCACACAGATGGCCGATAGTTCGACATTATATAATCAATAACTGTATTTTTTATTCTTCCCAGATAACTAATGAGAACGTTTCATGATTAATACAAAAGTAAACAAACAGTTCAAGACAAATGACCAGCGCCATTTTAACATTTGATCTGATGTTGTAAACAAATGCAGAAGACTGTTTACATGATCAATAAATAACCTAACAGCAGCCTTATTTCCTACTGCTGCATATCTATAAACGTTTGTGCTTCGATCTAACTCAGTGTGCACAGAATTTAATTTAATTATTTTTGCATGCATATTAAAAGTTGGAGTAGTAGTGTGGGGTAGGGGTGTATTTAATGTTAAAGGAGAGGTCACTGGAAATATTTGGGTATCATATGCACGCAGAATACAGATGGAAAACCTCAAAAGCTTAAAATTGCACGTGATTTTTTTTTCATCTTGACTAGACAAGCATGGATCAACCAACAGCTGAAGTGCCACATCACACTATGTTTATGAATTAACACACATGAAACATTATTGTGTGAGTGTTATTGTAATATTTTCATTCTGTGTATTTGTGGCTAGTTTAATTAGTAATGAATTCATAATTTGAGTAATACTAGTGGGTCACCATATTTAATCTTAATAATTTATCATCAATTAAGGATGTAGTAACACTTCAGAAAATAATATGTTACCATGATTGAAGTAGTTATCAATGAAAAGGTAACCCAAAACTTCTTAAGGTAACCAACAATCTGTTTGTTTAAATTTGAAGTGGAACTGTTAATGTAGTGTTATTCATTCTGCGTTAATTGTTTACTCTTATGAAACGTTCTCAATATCTAAAATACAGTATATTAATAATTAGCAATACTTGCATATATATTAATGCAAACATATTGTTTCATTTATCGGTGTTCCTAGTTATGACATTAATGATATTGCATTTCTCATTTGTTATTGTATTGTGTAGTTATTAATATGTTTTACCCCCCTTTAAAGACATTTTCAATTTACAGCAGGTTTATCAATTTGAGAATTTAACATTTGTTTTTGATTTCTTTGATTTTGATTTGTACCTATTCAGCCTGTTCCTCTTTCCTTCCTCTCTTTACAAGTTTGATTCATGTTTCATGGGAAATGATCATGAATGTTTATTTTTGTGGTATAATTATCATGAATTACTACCAGGGCAGTAACAATGAAATATAGTTCAGTTTTGATACAAAACTCTGACAGATTTTTTCACTGTTAATATGTTGGTTTAAGGTTTATTTTTACCCACATTCGTTGACCAGTCAGATTAATTTAATTTACTTAGGACAATTTAATTGAAATAATTGATTTTTTTAAGTGTTTGCAAATAAAGTTTTAGATAATCCTTATCTGTAGTGCCTGTTTGAAAAGAAGCTCAAATTATACATATGGCTTAAAATCGTTCATTTAGTCAGTTGACCTTAAAATATCAGAATCGCACTTTCACTTTCACTTTTAATCCACCTGCTGCTGTTTATGTCTAGGAGGAGGCGTTGTGACTCTCTCAGAGACACGATTAAATTCTATTGCAGGGGTCACCAATCTCGGTCCTGGAGGACCGATGTCCTTAGAGTTTAGCTCCAATAAGCTTCAACACACCTGTCTGGATGTTTCTAGTATAGTAAGAGCTTGATTAGCTTGTTCGGGTGTGTTTGATTAGGGTTGGAGCTAAAATCTGTTGGACACCGGCCCTCCAGGAACAAGTTTGGTGACTCCTGTTTTATTGTATCATGACTAGTAAATTTGTGTTTTTGGACCATATGATAAAGGGTATTATATTCATTCATTCATTCATTCATTCATTTTCTTTTCAGCTTAGTTTCTTTATTAATCTGAGTTCGCCACAGCTGAATGAACCGCCAACTAATGGGAAACATCCATACACTCTCAGTCATATACACTACGGACTATTTAGCTTACCTAATTCCCCCATAGCGCATGTGTTTGGACTTGTGGGGGGGAAACTGGAGCACCCGGAGGAAACCCACGCCAACACGGGAGAATATGCAAACTCCACACAGAATCGCCAGCCGACCCTGCCGAGGCTCAAACCAGTGACCTTCTTGCTGTGAGGAAATCATGCTACCCACAGCGCCACCGTGCAGCCCTGTTATTAAAATAGTGTAGTTAATAATACACTTAATATGTCTATATGCTGCTATAAAGTTATAATGTCTATAAAATTATTCATTCTAACTGTAATCCTATACAAAGGTACACTCATATTATTTAGAGTTGCTATTATTAATTCTTTCAGCTCTAATAAATTATTTTATTCTATATTATTATTGTAGCATACAGAACTTGTACTTTTATAATAATGTTTGATTCATTACTTGTTCTTAATAGATTTTTCATCACTCACTAGGGGTTATATATTTCTATTTTTCATCTTTACCATAAAAATGACAAGTTTGAGCTTTCTTTATTGATATTTTATTTATTTTTAACTAACTGCAGTTTTTTCCACATCATAAAAGATCAGTTAATACATTTTAAAGGGCTCTTTGGATTGGAGTCATCAAATTACAACTGATGGACACTTTTGGAAAGTAGGCTATCCTTTGAGCGAGGGAGCTGTTTGCTGTTGCACACTGTACTCAATTCAGATGGGCTCATCCCTGTGCTCTTAACCCTTCAGAGGGACCCTACAAAGGGATGAGCCCTTCAGATTGGAATCCACCTCATAAGGCGTATAGCTTTTAATCCGCCCTTCTACTGCATATCAATATTGCATAATTTAAGACATACTTTCAATTTTGTTTAATTCGCTGAATCTAAAGCGCATCGCTCCTCTTCAAGTGAACCAATTTTATGACCACAGACGAGTTTGAACTACTGGACAAGGATGTAAAGTATACTAATTTATATATTTATATTGGTTATACATTAACCATGTGATTTGTCCTTATTTGATCAAAATTACCAGGTAGTTTGAGTGACATCTAGTGCTGAGAAACACGGAAACGTGTGTTCTACTCTGTCCAGCAGGGTTGTTGCCAGAAGAACTACAGTTACGGCCGGAAATTAACAATAAATCTATTAATTGTATTTTATTAACGTCTACCCCTACAACAACCATAACCCCAACTCACACAGTAATGTAAAAACAGTAATTAGCCCAAGACAAGTATTATTTATATTCCTTATTTAATTACCCTTTATGTTTTTATTAACGTACCCCACCCAAACTCTCACCGTGATGTATAAAATTTTTACATTGTTGTAGCCTACAGTGCCAAAACATTATACTGTGTTGAAGTGAGTATCCGCAGCTGTATCCCTTCTAGACTTCTCCGTCCTGCAGGTGTGCTGTTATTGGGATCAAATGTTTGCGTTTTAATTTCCTGTTTCCTGGTGTTTGCAGCTGGAGAACATCGCCGTTGTCTGCGCCCGTGGCGGCGATATGCTTTAGGCTAAATAAGGATTATGGCCTCATCAAGCTGCACAACAGAAGCAAAAGGTACAGCTTGATTTAGGAAACTTTTAAATATACGTTAATATAAATGCGCGTTGAACTTAATTAGCACAGACGCACAGTGTCCGTGAGCTACTTTCGATTAAACAGTGCTGTTTACTTAGTAAAACCTTTTCCCCAAAAGTGACCCTGGAAAACAACCACAGGGATAAGATTTTAGGAGTTTAGATTTAATGATAGCTGAACTTATAGAAAAGATTAATTAATAAGCTT